CTGGGCCAGGTGTCCACACTCCACAACTTTTTGAACAAAAGAAGAAGAAGAAAAAGAAACCACAACATTCTTCACTTTGAGTAAGGCGAGAATGGCTTGAAGGTGGGAGGCGAACACAGGCTCCTCGCGTTCCACATCTCAGCCGTGGATGCGTGCAATCCGTGGCACGTTCCACATCTCAGCCGTGGATGCGTGCAATCCGTGGCACGTTCCACATCTCAGCCGTGGATGTGTGCAATCCATGGCACGCCACCCAAGCAGGAAAGCCAAATGAGTTAACACACTGGAGAGTGTGTCCTTTGTGTCTCTTGACCAGTGAGATGGAAGTCCTGTCTGCTTCACAGAGTGTGGAAGGTTCTGGAACCACATGGTGTTTATAATCCAGGGGGTCTTGCAGGAGCCCTAGGGGCCCGGCATCTCCCAGAGTTACCTATATAATGGGGGCACCTATAAGAAACACCTGACCCTTCAGCCCTTCTCCATTCCTTACAGTGGTGTGTCCAATTGGCACAGACCATGAAGACCCTTCTCTCCCTGCCCCACCCCAGAGTAGGCAAGGATTAAGGACTGCTATGCTGACACAGCATCTTGCTAGGTTTTGTCTTTTGAAATTACCTTCAGTGGGGGAGTGTATTCATGTTTCACCTTTCCATAGGTCCCGTTTGCTTTCCACAGCCACACCTGGGTCTCCTCTTTTCAAGACTTTCCTGGAGCTAGTGAGGCACTTCCTGTACACATGGCCCTTCAGGAGGGCCTGGGGATGCATCTCTCCCTGGGCCTTTGAAGCTTCAGAATCTCTCTGTGTCTCTGTCTCTGTCTGTCTCTGTCTGTCTGTCTGTCTGTCTGTCTGTCTGTCTGTCTCTCTCTCTCTCTCTCTCTCTCTCTCTCTCTCTGTGTGTGTGTGTATGTGTGTGTGTGTGTGTCTCTTTCTCTCTTTCTCTCTCGGTCTTATGTTGACCACTCCATTGTGTTCCTTCTCTCTCAGAAACATCACTCCCAGGGTCCCTTTGCCTGAGATTTCATACTTAGCTCACCTCTGGCCCTTTCCTGACTCAAGTGATCAAACAAGTTCTCCTTTTTCCATTGGTTTCTAGGGAACCTGGTCTAGGACTAGGACTCTGTGTCTCTCATGCCCTTTGCAGCTGGTGTACGATAAGTCTACAGTCATGCTTTGGGAAGAGGTCCAGGACTTCCGAGAACAGGGCAGGGTGGGGAGACAGTTTAGTCAGTAAAGTAAAGTATTTGCTGTGCAAGCAAGTGGACCTGAGTTCAGATTCTCAGCACTTGCATAAAAAGCCAGGCACAGTGGTGTCTATAACCTAGGGCTGGGAAAGCAGAAACATGTGGATCACAGGGGGGAGGCCATGGGGGGGTATGGGGGAGGCAGATCAATCAGCCCGGGCAAACCAGTGAGTTCTAGGGTTCGGTGAGAGAGCCAGTCTCAGAAACAAAATGGAGAATGGTTGAGGAAGAAACCCGGTGTCAGGATGTGACATCCATACAAACATGTATACACCTGTACATACCCAAACGCATGTACACAGGCGGGAACAGGCAGGGAACAGGGCAGCTCTTCTGCAGCCTTAATTGCACATTTTGTTCCCTTGCAATAACTTGGAGTACTTTCCCACTTACTCTTATTAGAAAGGTGCTACAATTGATTATTAATGTCTACCACAGGGTAAGAAAGAGCCAGGGGAGCACCATTAGCCTGCTTGGGGTTTTGCCACCCCTAGTCCAAAGGAAAGGATGTAAGAAGGTCTGTTTAGGTCTTCAGCTTCCAAGAACTCTCCTAGCCCAAAGAAGTCCAGATAGCTCTATGCATTCTAATGCGATTCCGTAGGGCTATCCAATCCATAGCAGTGTGTCCAGCAACCTGGAGAGTTTCTCTCCAGATGTCCCAGTGCAGTAGGTCTGGAAAGCTTATCAAGGGGATGACAAAGACCTCCCGACCATCTTCTGGTGAGCATGGGCTAAAGGCCATGGGCCAAACTGTCAGCCTCAGCTGAGTGTGAAGTTAGGCACACCTGAAAGGTAGGAATATATTATTCAAATCGCAGAGGCAGATGACAGGCTCGGAGCATGTTGGAACATTAAGCTGATGTCTGGCTACGGAACAACAGAGTCCATGCAGTAAGTGATGTTAGGACTTTGGAAACAAAGGCCAAGTCCTGGAAGTCAGAGTAGGGGCCCAGTACCAGAAGGATCCTGCAGACTTCCTCACCCAGATCCCTCTTGTTCTTTAGTTTTATGTAAGTCTGACAGATACACTGTAAAGTGTCCAAACTTCAGGAGACTAGATGGCCTTTTACACACTGATAGGGCATTCCTGTCTCCCCAGCAGGCTCCAGCATGTCCCTTCCTGGCCCATTCTCCTCCCCAGAGGTAAGCAGGGTCTGACTCCCCTCTCTACAGATGAGCTTGTCTGTTCTTGCTCTTCACAAGGATGCTGTAGTACGGATGTTCTTGTGTCCGTTTTCTGTTGCCATAGTTGCATCTATGCATTCATCTGTGTTGTTCAATGTACACTACACTCTTCCTTTTTCTTTGCCATGTACTATTTCCACTGCACGAGCACAGCCCATTTTTACACACATTTTGATAGATTGTTTATCCACTTGGACAGTTTCCAACATTTCGCTATTCTGAATAAATATCCTGGGACATGTATCTCACTAGGCACATGCACCCCATGGAGAAAGACCTCAGAGCATAATATCTTGCATACCAGGGGCAATGCATTTACCTCTAAATGCTCCTGTATGGTGATCCTCTACAGTGACCATGCCTATCTATACTCTACCAACTATATATGAGAAGTTGCTTGACCCATATTCTTGTCAACTCTTAGCATTATCAATCTTTTATCACTTTAACCAACTTCCTGGGTTTTTTTTAAATGTATTTATTTATGTTTATTTTATGTGCATTGGTATATTGCCTGCATGTCTGTCTGTGTGAGGGTGTCAGATCTTGGAGTTACAGACAGTTGTTAGCTGCCATGAGGGCGCTGGGAATTGAACCTGGAACTGGAAGAGCAGTCAGTGCTCTTAACCGCTGAGCCATCTCTCCAGCCGCCAACTTCCTAGTTTGTGAGTAGCAATGCCTCATTGTGGGTTTGATTCCCATTTCTCATCTAGGACTGTTCCTCTTCAAGCACTGATGTAGGAATCCAAAGGGCACACAGAACCACTGCAATCACATGGGCTATATCCCCCGGCACTTGTAAATAGAGTCAGCCTTGCAGACAAACAACAGGTTAGGACCCCAATGAGCAGACTCTTACATGGAATCCTAACAGAAACTGTAGTCCTGGGGGACTCTGGCACATCTCTGACCCTCTGAGGAGGGAATGAACTAGCAAAGACATGGACAGAGCATGGACTATGCAGATGTATGTAAATCGCATATAAAAGCCAGCAAAGGAGCCCTCAAGCCATGAGGCTTGCTGTGCCTGCCTGTCTCCACTCCAGAGAATGCTAGAACAGCCAAGAGCCAGCAGGCAGAGTTCAACAACATGGCGTGATTTTGCTCCTGCCTTTAATCTGAGAGCATGAGGCCGCTGGGCCCACACCACCAGACGTCCATAAAATATAAAAGTCAGGGTTTCTTTGTTTGGTTCTTTTTTAATTGATTATCCATTTGTGTTCAAATAAGTGAGGCTTCTTCTGGCTGGTGACTAACTTAAGAGTCAGAGTGGGAAGTTACTGTCTATGGCCCCTGCCGCAGGCATAGGAAGGACACCACGATGTCCTGAGAATGTGCCAGATAGAAGCTAGTGCAGGACCCAGAGGCGGTAGTCAGACTGGAAGCTTCAATTCTCACTCATCTTAAGATTTGGGGCAAGAAACTATTGGTGAACTGCCAGCCAACTGGTGTAGGACCACCTTAAGGACACTCTGTGTCAAGGTCTAGTTCTCCTAACCTGTGACTCGAAGTGAGTTCCCTTCAACTTAAATATCAATCCGAGTGTCTCGCCTTGCTAAGAAGCAAAAGCATCCGCTCCCTTGTAGAGCAATTAGACCTGGGCCAGTTCCCGCCACACGTCCAAGATGATAGAAAGCCCGACCCAGATTCTGCACTGGATAATTGAGCATTAAGACACAACAAGGGCTCCACTGCGGCATAATAATGCATGCCTGGCTGATTTATTAAGCATCTAACTTAGAAGCGCATTGTTCCGCAAGGCCCCGTAGCTTAGGCAGCGCTCCATAGAAAACACTTGCCGTGCGGCTGCTGTGGTGTTCAGATCCTGTTACATCCCGTAACTTCCAACTTCCCAGTCCCTAGAAGCCTGCCTGCCTACCTGGGTCTGGATCGCACCTCTTTAAAGAGCTGTGGCGCCCCCTGTCGGCTCTGTGATTTTTTTTTTCTTGTCACATTCTGACTGCAGCAGAGGTAAGGATCGAAAGCTTGCTGTAACTCAGAAGGCAAATGCGCAGTGTGGGGGACGGGGGAGTGGGGACGGAGAGTTGCATCCCCACAACCTGTCCCCTTGCCCAGCTTAATTTTACCCAGAGCTAGCTCTAGCTCCCATATTTATGTTTATTTAAGCTCTACTCGTGTATGATGATAACAAAGCCTTTGTTTTGTTCTCTAGTGGAATGTCAGCTCCCTGCTTGGCATGAAGGAGGCACGTGGTAATAACCCCTCCCCCCAAAGAATCATTGATTCGTGCATTGGGTGGCGATGTCAGGTGGTAGCAAAAGTCTCGCAGCGGAAGAAAGCCGTGTCAAGAGGATGGCATGCCCAAAGTGAATCTTGCCATTTCAGATGAAGTGATCAGGGAGGAACGGCTCTTGGTAATGATTTGCAAACAGGAACAAAGCAAATGTACCACTCAAAGTCACAGCGGAAGAATGATCTAGATTGACCACAGCCAGTGTCAAGGTCCAAGCAAATGTTTGCTGATTTTGCAGGGGCCCATGAGGCTGAAACACGGGACAGGAGCAAAAGGCCAAAAGGTAAAGGCTAAATCCCTAAAAGGGACAGGAGCTTACCGAATATAAACCAGATCCAACTCCAGATTCCTTTTCCTTCTTGTGCCAGGACGTAGCCACACCCGTGCCTTCGTTCATCCTCCACGACTTTTCTCACGCTACAACAGACGTGTATGCAGACATCATGCCCTGCAAAGCCCAAAACAATGGCTGTCCAGCCCCCGCCCTCAATCATCAGAGGCCAGTGGCAAGACTTTGGCTCTTTTCAGAACAATAAAAAGCCGTTAGGGGCCCTCGAGCAGAAAGAAGGGTGACCCAATCAGACTCACAATTGAGAAGGATGGGAGTAGCTGCTGAGGAAAGGGAAAGCTGTAGAGGCTGCGGCAGAGAAATCAATTAGGAGGTGAGAAAGGAAGGTGGTTTGATCTAGAAATGTAATCAGATCAGAAGAGACACAAGCCCAAGAGTTCCCGTACCCTGTGGCCCACTGTGCAAAATTTGCCTTTATGGATTCCAGCCCAGAGCATCAGGGGAGTGTTGAGAAGTCATCAGAAAAAAAAAAAAACTACAGTTTTGTTTCTTTTTGTTTCTTTTCTCAATTAGGCAGGAAGCCATAGCTAGGATACTATGTTGCAGAGAACAAACAGCCATTTCTAGAGATCTCCTCCGGGCTAGTCATTCTGGACTTGGGCTAGGGTCCAGACAAGACATTGGTTTATACTCTGGTCCCTGACAGCTTTCCTCACTGAAGCAGTCAGACATTCAACTGGTTTGACCAAGCAGTTGGGTTTAGGTCTGAGGGGGTTGAGTGCAGGTCAGGAGGGTCTAGCTAGGGCTTAGAGTAACAACTGTGAGGCAAACATTCGGGAGGAAGCTAAGGACTAGGAAAAAGTGGTAGCATTGGGAAATGCCCAAGAGCGAGTATAAGGGTCACACATTCTTAGCCCCAGCACAGCAATCAGCAAGTCTCAGGTGGAGCCCCCTTCCCATCATCCCTTGGTGTGCCCATACACAGAGGCTGCCCTACAGATGAGACATATTTTCCCTGTTACGTCTGCTCTCAATGGTTTGGTTTGGTTTTGACTTTGGGATTTTGGTTTTGGTTTTTTGTTTTGTCTTTATTGTTTGTTTGTTGGGGGGGGTGTTTTTTTGGTTTGGTTTTGGTTGGGGGTTGTTTGTTTGTTTGTTTGTTTGTTTTCAAGACAGAGTTTCTCTGTGTAGCGCTGGCTGTCTTGGAACTCACTCTGTAGACCAGACTGGCCTCGAACTCAAAGATCCTCCTGCCTCTGTCTCCGAGTACTGGGATTAAAGGCGTGTGCCGCCACCGCCTGGCTGTTTTTCATTTTTTTAAGCCAGCTTCCTACTCTACATAGCTTTTGAGAATGGCTCCATGAGATCAGGGGGAGGTGCCAGCTAGAAAGGGAATACAAGAGGAACTCGGGAATCTGACAGCCTCAGGCTTGAACGTCCTAACTGTAACTGATTAGCTGTGTGACCTGGGGGAAGTGACTGCTCTTTTCTGTGCCTCCACTCAGGCCTGATAACTGGAGAAGACCCAAAGATGGAGCAGTTGTTGTGAGAATGGGAGATGATGGCTCATTAGCAGCAGCTTGTGCTAACAAGACAGAACCACGTGATGGAAAGAGTGGGCTCTGTTGAGGGGCTGAGCAACTGATAAACAGCCTTGCCCAGTTTCACAGCTGCCCATCCATATGAAGCAAACAGCAGTGAGTGTTCTAAGGAGACACAGAAGAAGGGGGCTGTATCTAGCTTAAGAAAAACACAGGACAATGAATGACACAGAAGCAATGAGCAAGCTCAGGCTCCCCAAATCCAGCCCTCAACACTAATCCCTTGCTTTTTTCTGAAGTCTAGATGGACCTGAAATAACCATCCCATTTCCTGATGTTACCTCCTCTCCCTCCTTCTGGGACATGTCTCAGGTAGTCTATAGCATATGGCTTAATGGAGCACCATGATGGAAGCTCCATAAACACCTGCTTGTTAAATATGTGAATAAGTAGACAGGTGGGTGGATGGATGGACTGGATACTCAGATAGGTAGATGGATGGGTGGGTGGGTATGCAGATAAATAGATAGATGGGTGGGTAGATGAATAGATGGATTGGACTGGATTGGATTGGATACTTGGATACATGGATGGATGGATGGATGGATGGATGGATGGATGGATGGATGGATACATGGGTGGATGGATGCAGAGGGATGGATGAATAGGTAGATGAATGTTTAGATAAATGAGTAGATGGATTGGGGTAGATTGGATTCATGGATGGATGGATGGATGGATGGATGGATGGATGGATGGGTAGGTGGATAGGTGGGTAGGTAGATGAGCACTAAGTTTTGGATACTCAGAGCTGACCTTCTACAAACTTTGATTCATGTCTTTGTCAAGAAAATAGCATTGTGCCATCTACTCTCTAGACTAGAAAATCAAAGGAACAGATACATGTTGGCATCAACCCAACCTATCCCCTTCTCTATCAAAAAGCAGTGGCAATGGATTCTGAGTTTTTATCACAAGATAGCCTCAGGCTCAGATAGGAATGGGGGTGAGCCTGCCTTGACTGTAATGGGTATACAAAAGCAACTAAGCATTTAGAAGATTCCATGGGCCCATTTGAGGTCAAAGAGGAGACCAGTACATGCTGAGGTCAAGGAGATGGAGCTTGGATTCTCCATGTTACAAAGACTTAAACAGCACACAGCCTGTTCCCATGTGTTCCTCTCCAGAGCACTTCATCTCTAAGCTGGGGATAAGAATGTAGAAACATTTACACCTGTCAGAATGGCTAAGATGTGGAGGATGTGGCGCAAGGTGAACACTCCTCCACTGCTGGTGAGAGTGCAAAGTTGTACCACCACTTTGGAAATCAATATGGCAGTTTCTCAGAAAACTGGGAATAGATCTACCTCAAGACACAGCTATACCACTCCTGGGCATATACCCAAAGGATGCTCCACCATACCACAAGGACACTTGATCAACTATGTTCATACCAGCTCAATTTGTAGTAGCCAGAAACTGGAAACAACCTAGACATTCCTCAACTGAAGAATGGAAAAGAAAATGTGGTACACTACACATCGGAGTATGACTCACCTGTCAAAAACAATGACATTATGAAATTTGCTGGCAAATGGAAGGAACCTGAAAAATCATCAGAGTGAGGTAATCCAGACCCAAAAGACAAACATGATATGTATCACTTATAAGCGGATATTAGCCCCCAGACCTGACCAAAGCCAGGCTCAGGGAAGTCCTGAACCCTTGTAAGAGGACTCCCTCCACTCCCTGAACACTGCCCACCCCAGTTCTAGAGTGCTGCCCTCTGGAAACAGCATGCCCATTGGCCTCTTGAACTCTCAGCAGCTGTCAGTTATCCACAGGAGGCGTGCACAAGATCGGACCCATTTCCATTCCATCACAGAGCAAGAAGCACTCACAAGGTCCATATGAATCCTCCAGGATTTATAGACACTAGAGAAAAGTAACTCATGAGTCCCCTGTGCCCCTCCCCAATGACAAATAGGCAGTTAAAGTTGCTGAGACATCTTCCTCCATGGTGCAGTCACTCATGGTTGACCACGTTCCTGTAGATAACCCTTATGAAACTCATTGGGTCTGTCATTAGTGCCCTATCTCTGATGGCTCTTCATTTGTTTATCCACGCAGGAAGCTCACACTGCAGGGGTTTGGAGAGAGGGCACCCCGCCCTAAGAAAGTCCCAATGCAATCATGGAGTTCTCTACCACACAGAAGTCTATGTCGCTCACAGATTCTAAAACCTACGGGCCCCAGCTGAATCATTTAATGAGCCCCTGTGCACACCCATCCTTTAGACTGTGGTAGCAAATAATAACTTAAGCATTCTGGAACAAACTTTTAGAGAGCCCATGGAGAAAAGAGATGAGTCAGGCCAGCTACGTTCTTGGTTTTCCTATGTAGGTCCTTCGTCAGAATGATGTGTACAAAAGTGACATTCTGTCGACTCCCAAAACTTCATACTTCCCAAGTCCCTTAGAGATACATGTTTTCCCCCCCAAAGACCACTAAGATATCCTTGTCTGAGTTGGGGTTTCCTTTCTTTCAAACAGTGGGAAATTAGTAAGGAAAGGACGTAGAAGTTGTTCATTAAAAGCATTCCCCCCCAAATCAAATCCACATGACTGCTAGATATATTGGAGGTGCGGGAGGTACTATTGCTGGTTTGTGGAAGGAGTTGACACATAATTGCCCTTCAAGACTGGGGAGGCCTAGTAGGAGGGGGAGCATGATCAGGGCCTGTGGCGGAGGAGTGTTTTAAAAAGCACAATATATTAAAAACAGCATAACAAATCCTTAAAGGGAAGGAGAGGCTTCCCTTTCAAACCTGATGAAGAACTTCATCCCAAGGGACAGGAGAGAGGCTGTCGTGAGAGGGTGACGGGAGCGCAGAAGCTGGCCACGGGAGATCGCCTGAAGGAAAAGATCTGGGTTTTATAAGTTGTGGGGGTCTGACAAGAAGTTTTATGCCATGTGATTCGGTCTGGGGTAGCCTAGGTGACAAAGGAACAGAAAGGACCAAGCTACCAGGTAAGACCATTAACCAATGCCTACAAAACCCAAACACACCAGGGTTATTTTAACCCCTGCCACAGAGAGAGCGACAGACGCAACATGGCGTGATTTCTCCAGCCCGTGAGTTCTGGCCTCTTACGGCCAAACCAGAGCACCAACAAAACCCTCAACCGGAGGGTGAGTTGAGAATACAAGAAAAGGATGATGTGTACACCATGGGTGAACCCTGCCCATCCTCACCGCTGGTGTATAGTCCTTCCAACTCCACATATCATAAAATCTATGGCACGCCGGATTCTTGGGGCCCCCAAGGTGGCAATGGAGTCCAACTGAATGTAGCGGAAGTCTTAAGAGAGTGTTATGGCTAAAACGAGCATTGGATTTCTTCATGGAGGAAGTCTGGGATAAAGGAAGGATGATAAAAAGGTTCCTGGTGCTGGCTAACTGCATCAGCACACGGTCTCTCCAATTCTCTTAGCTGTCACTTCAAGTCACCTGATGATTTTTCTTGCTCCAGACATTTCATAGATAGCCTGGGAAGAAAAAAAAAAAAAAAGAATGGAGTCAGGAAGAGGGGAGAAACATGCCTATATTAAAAAGAAATAACGTGCCGGGCGGTAGTGGCGCATGCCTTTAATCCCAGCACTCGGGAGGCAGAGCCAGGCGGATTTCTGTGAGTTCGAGGCCAGCCTGGGCTACCAAGTGAGCTCCAGTAAGAGGCGCAAAGCTACACAGAGAAACCCTGTCTCAAAAAAAAAAAAAAAAAAAAAGAAAGAAATAACGTTCCCAGAAATTCCCAGCCAACTTCTAATTACTCATCACGAACCACAACTAGGTCACATGACCAACTGGCTGCAGAGCAGCTGGGAAGTGCTTTTAGCAGAGGAGTACGAGTACGTAGGTGGCCACTAACAGATTAGCACTTGAGGCAGAAGAGGTGAAGGGTTCTGCAGAGGCAGCTGGGAGTCACCAGCAAAGGCAGCAACATCAGGACTAGCCTTACCCCAGCATGGTGGATGATCTAATTCACCTCATGGCCTCCTTTACCTAACACGCTTTCATACTTCCCCAGCAAGAAACAAGATTGACAGAAAACAATGAATGTGAAAGTTTTTATTTGTGCATCAGCTCTGCTGCTGGTTGGAAGTTCAGAAGGAGCAGAGGCCTTGGGGTTTTCTTTTTGAGATGACGGCACTTGATTTTAATAGTAAATGACTTTCATGTCTGGTGTAAGCCACTAATAGAATTAAGCACACAAGAACAACTCACAAAAAGGTGTAAGAAAATAATTCCAGCATCTGTCAGGAAAGGGAATCAGAAAAACCAGGGTCCCCAGAGCAGTGGGCTTCTCTGGATTAGCTAGAGAAGGCTTTCAGAAGCTAAGCAAATTGCCTGGATGCAGCTTCTCTAAACGTCCATTAACACTTGATGCCGAGGATAAAGACCTCAGCATGCAAATGACGGTAAATGGATTGCGAATAAGGCAACCAAGGGGAAGAGGAGGCTGAGCTGCTGAAGCAGAAGGTGGCAATTCACTGAGCTCAATGTCGTTTCCTGCAGAGAAGGAGGACCAGCATTCGGATCACCACACAACTGGGGGTCTGGTGCGGGAGGGGGGGCGGGAGGAGTATAGTGTCGATTCTGAGTATATCTGTTCCCACTCCAAGAAATCCGCGAGGACAGAGGATGAAACGCGTGGACGGCAAATTCTTTGGGTGAATGTTAACTCCTGCACAAGGACTGAATTGGTACATTTTTTATGAACCCTGGAAGAGATCCTGCCTGAAAGACTCACTCTCCTACACAAGAAAGAGTGGTCCGGAGGGAATGTGTGGCGAGATCACTTCCTTTGCTGATGGAGAGAAACCCCAGACCGCAGGCACTTCAATCACATGCTTGGCTCTGGGGGCTTAGGGGGATGGGACAACACCAGGCACAGGCATGCAGGCACTTTCTACCAATAACTTATTTCCAGGGAAGAAATGGGGTTAGTTTTTGCTTTTGAATCCCCAGCCTCCCTGTGTTGTATATCAATTTCTGCTAGTTTTCCAGTAAGACTGTAGAAAGGCATTCACCGGTCATTTAAAACAATGCGCGCGCGCACACACACACACACACACACACACACACACACACACACAGTTCCAAAGGTTAAAGTTCACAATCAAGGCAGAGCCAGATTCTGTTTGGAAGGCTCTAGGAAAAAATACTCTCTTGCTCGCCCCTGGTCTACGGTCATGGCCAGCAGATGCTGCCATCCCCTGTGTGGTAGCAGGGATAACACTAACTTCTGCCTTCATCTCCAGGTACCCGCCCGCCCTGCCCTGTGTGTGTCTCTATGTCCCAATCTCTCTCCCTATGAAGACTCACTGGATTTAGGCTTACCATAATCCAGCTTGGCTCATCCTAATACGATGGCATCTATGAAGAGATCCTTTTTCCAGCAGGGTCACATTCGCAGGTACAGGCAGGTAAGGCTTTGGCATATCTTTGGGGTACAGGGCACAACTCAGTCCACAACACAAGATAATCCAAAATGTTTTAGGTAACATTTTTCGACTCTGTGGGCTAACTTGATTTCTGCTGCCTTCACGAGAGGATAAAGATAACATAAGCTGACATAATAACTCCCTAAAACCCTACTCATCACTTTAATGTGATTAAACACGCCAATCCTGAAGGCAGTGAAGTGCTCGGGAAATAAACTCAGATTACACACAAAGGGCTTGCGGTCTAGGATAATCTTTGTCATGAGCTACCTATGAAATCGGAGTAACAGCACCTCACCTCTCCGGGCCTTCAGGTGTGCAGCCCAAAAAGCAGAGCTGGAAATGGATCAGTGCTTCCTAGAGTGTGATGTGGGTCACTGCTGAGGTGGCCATACTCAACACCTACAGTGAAGACACCAGGCTGAGAGTCTGCTTAATGAGTCACGTGGCACAAACCTGAGTTTAAGCTGGTGGTGGGGGTTTCGCACCAGTACGCATGCGTGTGGAGGTCAGAGGACAACTTCGGGTGTTGTTCCTAAGGTGTCATCTACCTCTTCTGAGACAGGGTCTCTCACTGGCTTAGAACTCCCCCAAGTAGGTTAGGCCAGCAGGCCGGCAAGTGCCAGACATCCACCTGTCTCCACCTCCCCAGCTCTGGGATTCTAAGTACACACTCACACACCAAGCTTTTTTACACGGGTTCTGGGATTTAATTCAGGTCCTGATGTTTACACAGGAAGCACTTTCCTTCCTGAGCTCTTTCCAGCCCATGTTTTAAGGCAGTCTTGACTTTCACTGAACAACAAAGCACCATGAAATATTTTCATGGCATAATAATCACTTATTAGTTTTGTTCTGGTGACAGATTGATTGGTTCTGTTGACCCGAGCCAGCTGATCTTCGCCAAGCTCACTGCTACAAGCTAGCCCGCTCACACAGTGACCAGAGTGTGGATCATACATCTAGTCATTGGTTGGCTGTTGGCTGCAGTAATGGAATGCCTAGATCTTGTGCCTACCAACACTATCCAGAAGGCTTGCTTACACACTGGCCCAAGGAACAAGAAGGGAAGGAAGTGCCCCCGTGTGCCCGTACCTTACAAACTACTGCCAGAATGATGTTTGCCATGGTCCATTGGCCAAAGTGAGTCACATGACCAAGACCACAATACTGCCCAAAGGCATAGATGCAGGCAGAGATAGCCAAACTCTTTGACAGCAGTCTACCACAGACACGGTTTTTCACTATTGTCTCCCCAGCCCCCCATAATCTCCTTCCTTAGCAAGCTAAAGGCAGATCTCAAGTTCAGAGAATCATCATCTAGTTAGAATTTAACAGCATTTTATTTTCAGTATACTTTTTACATGACTGTCTCATATTCTTATCAAGCAGTTTTCATT